GTACTAGGTTGTCAAAATAGTGCAACAGTGATCAACAATGTTTGTAATACATGATGGAGGTCATGGTTGTTGATGGAAATCAGTTAGCAAAAGTGGATTCTGGCCAAAGTGGCACATAGTAATAATTTTCAAAAAATGTCTGAAATGGCATAACTATACAAACACAACTAATCATACAGCAGAGTATAAATATCTATATTATGATACATGTAGTACACAGGGCATGAAATTCATATTTTTTGCACCGGCCCAGAGGGCTGGTAAGAGCAGTTTTTTGCCGGCCCTCACCATAATTTACCAGCCCTCTAAATTAATTTACCTCAAAAATAAAGATAAGACGGTTTCACTGACTCTTGCTTGTGCAAAAAATGTTGTAGTGTGCAGCATCGCATAGTAGCTGTTGAACAGACTATAATGCGGATCGTGAATGATGTCCGAAGTGTTTTTGTCATTGTCATGTTTCACGCTTGCATCATCGATTTCAAATTTGTAAAATGTTGATAAACTATAGCGTGATGTCCTTCAGGTAAAACAGTAATGTAGGCTATTTGCTCATTAATGCTATACATAAAAATGTAGGTACTTGCTGACACGGCTGAAACCACCGGCTCAGAGGGCCGGTGTTTTGACAATGTTACTGGCCCGCCAATTAATTTGCCGGCATTTGCCGGTGGGCCGGTACTAATTTCGCGCCCTGAGTACATGCAGTGGGCTATAGCTCCATGCGACACACTTTCACTATGCGAGCCACTAGGGAACGCGCCAAGAACAAGACACTCACCTGCTGGGATAGTACTCGCAGATGCGGATCATGATGTTCAGAATGAGCGTCGCGAGGTCGCTGTCATTCATCACCGCTGTCCCGCTCGCAGCCAGACACCACTTCAGCTGCGGGATCATGCCCAGGGGGCGCCACACGTCGAATCCCTGCGCCCAGCAGCGCGACTTCAGGTGGATCTTGCCGCCGTCGTGCAACTCCTTCATCTGTTGACGAGAGAGATTGACGACAACAAAGCGCGTGTTATTCACAAATTCTCCTTATGCCGCCACGTATGATATATGTACCTATTATATATACGTACGAATATCTCGCATCACCTAAAATATCGAGTTCATCCACTCGTTACAATTCCACAATTAGCCACTAATTATGGCTCACATGGTGCCGCTAGTCAAGTCGAATATATATATATATATAAATCATATATTAGCTGATTTCAAGTCTTGTTACGTTTGTTTGCGAGTGACCGTGTGCTGCATAGATGCATATGTGTGTGTGAATGCGCGTGCGTGCGTGTGCGTGCGTGCGTGTGTNATTTTTTATTATTTACGGTGACATAATCACTTTAATGCAGTTGACATTCTAGTGCGCACTTTTACTAGTGCATCTCACTACAGTGAGGTGAGGATGCCTTCTTTACCTTAATACTGTGTAGAGCTCTATGCTGGAAAGTAGATAATGAGATAGATCTTGTAGAATCATTCGGGGATCCATTAACTGCTGTCAGATGTTGCACTTGGAGATTTTGAGCACATTGTGCTAGGTAAAATGCAGAAAATATTTCGTAAGTAATAAACATAAGTCGTTAGTCACCAGACGAAATGCTGTTTTTCAGATTGATAGCCAAGAGCAGGTGGATAAGAAGACGGTACAATTGCAGCAGAAGTATAATGGCAGCAAATTTGATTCTACCTACAGGTCTGTGTTTCCTGATCCTTGACTCGTCAATAGAATGGGTCATTATCCTTCACGGGGGTTAATGCTTGCAAAACTACTACTTTTTAAAGTCTAGAATTTTACCGCGGGAGAGGGACAAATCTTGATTAAACAATTGAGGAGCATTTCTAATGAAGTTTATTGCAACCGAGTTGAATCATGGCATGGCTCAGGTGCCACCAGTTATTGAGACATGTTAATCACACCTGTTGTTTTGTGTTTGCCAGGCCTCGCGTCACATCGCTAGTCGCTGCACTGTCAAACCAGTATAACATCTGGTATCGGGGTCAAGTTGTCTCCATAACCGGCGACAGCGTCGAAGTCCTCTACATCGATTACGGAAACAGTGAGATGCTTACTCTGTCCGCCTTACAACCGTTAGACAGCGATCTAGCGGCCTTACCTAAGCAGGTCATTAGAGGGCGCCTCGATGGAATCACGTCGCATACCGGCAGTTGGAGTCAGTATTGTACTCAGACCCTTAAGGGAAGTTTCACTGACTCTATTATTGATGTCGAAATCAAGAAGGTTGTAGAAGGAGAGGTCAGTGTTATGGCTAGTACAGTGGGACCGACTGGTCAGCAAGTGGACATTGCAAAGGCACTAGTCGACGAGGGATTAGCGGTGAAGATCACTGATTCGCTATCCCAAGACCGAGCAGCAGCCACTGAGCCGAGCGTGCGCGGTCAGGCCAGTAATTCGAATCTCGAGGTCCGGTCGCTGCTCAGCACGCCCTCTGCTGGACAGCGAGTGCGAGTGGCAAGCTCCGAGTCGCCGTCGCTAGACCGGGCGGTGGAGGGCGGGGCCCGCGTGATGGCAGACACGGCTGAGCCAGTGCCGATGACCGTTGGTGTCTCGCTGCCTGTCCGCGTCGTCCACTACGAATCAGCCGGCAGCTTCTACGCGCATATCACGCACGAGGGCGCCACCGCGCTGCTCGACCGGATCGCCGAGCTCACACGTCGTCACGGCGCCGCAGCTGCGGGGGCGCCACCGTACGCAGCCGTCGTCGGCGAGCTGGTGGCGGCGCGCTTTGACGCGGACGGCGCGTGGTACCGCGCACGCGTCCTCGACGACGACGGCGGTGGCGTCCTCCGGGTGTGCTACATCGACTACGGCAACGTGTCGTGCGTCGTCGCGGCGGACGTGGCGCGGGCGTCGCCAGAGCTCGCGAAGTTTCCGCCGCAGGCGCTGCATCTGCGCGCGTACCTCGCACCGCCGGACATGCCGGACGACATCACCCGCTCATTCGGGCAAGCGTTGATGGGCGGCCACGGGGTGGCGACCGTGCATGGTGGCGCCACCAACGCTGACGAGCCGACACCCGTTATCATCGCGGACCCGGACGGAGGGGAGGACGATGACGTAAGTTCGATACCTCGTCGACGGTGCGGAGACTGAGTGGGTGCATAGTCGCGCGGCGCACTTGACTAGGGCGAGGTCTGTGGTTCGTGTGCATAGTGGTTGTGCTCTTGAGCAGTGCACGCCGTTCCGATTTGTTTCAGTGAACACCTGCTGTAGGAATGGGTTTGTCTCATTGCTGTATATAATACTAAGATGTAGATACCTCGCCTGCATAATTGTAAGTAGCCTTGTGAGTAGCCTTGCTGGGGAAAGCCTGCTAATGAAACCAGAGTAACATGGCTGCCGTCGATGGGCGTATGCTCCGTGATTAAGGAAAATGCACTAAACTATATTACAGTGACTACCTAATTACGTCTTTGTAAAGTCCTGAAACATTGTTTTGCGTTAGGTGTACGAACCCTAAAGGAAGCGCGACTAGAGCGTCATCTCTGACAACATTGCAGACGTAATTGATTTAATAGTAGGATGGTTTATTCGTAGTTTGCCAGCACTTGAGTGCGTACATGTGACATCACGTCTCGGTCTAATGCATTGGTTTTTACCTGCATTACAGTTCAACACACAATTACTCAAGACACTGAGCAATTGCGCAGAGAGGTCGCCAATCAGAATCTATGTGGATGAACTTCCATCTTCCAGGGTTTTGCCACAGCATGTAGAAATTCCAATAATACCCACTCACCCATCTTCACCTCAACATTTCTTTATTGTCCGTGCAGAAGGTAATGTTTTATTTCTTATCTTGTGTAGAAGTACTCTTGTCCTTACAGGAAAAGTGATATGAATCTAAACGGTCATTTATCGACACTCACTACTCGATTATTGTGCTCAGTAAAGACATAATCAGATAGAAAATAGGAGTTGAGTGGTTAAACTGGTCAAAAACTTTTTGTTTAACTGCAGTGAAATATTTTCTTAAATCTGAATAGGAGCATTTAATTTATACTCTAGGAGTGTACAACTGTTATAGGCTATTATAGTAGTACTATACTGACTAATGAAATACGTTTACATCGGAAGACACTGCCATGGTGACAGAGCTTCAGCAATCCCTGCAAAAGTTGTATAATGGTACAACAGGTGACACCATCTTCACACCTGAAGTAGGAGAGGCATGCATTGCCAAATCGGAGGGTAACACATACAGTATAATCTCGTTAAAATGCACCCCACGATAACGGGGTTTTCTTTGACTTTGTTATACATGTATTTGGGATTTTAATCGCAATTAAAATACGGAGGTAACAGCATAAAAGTAATTGTTTTATCCCAAAATTGACTAGAATTCCTGATTGACTGTAAAATTTCAAAGTCCCTGCTATACCGAATCCCACATTTTAAGCGTGTTCACCAGAATATGATAATGGTCAATGTCATTGACATAAAATGTCTCTCAGTACTTCATGCTTAGCACATTAGTTCGCCACTGGTGTTTGTTTCAGATTCCAACTGCTTTTAATATTATTGCAAGTACGCTCGCTTTAACTATTCCCTAATGTAAACTACGAAATACTTAATCGGTCGCCAGCGCTGGCCGACCACCTATAGTAAGTATACCTGTTGTTGTTGGCAGATGACTGGTACAGGGGGATCGTCTTTGAGGCATCACCAACCGTGTTCAAGGTATACCTGATTGACATTGGGAAAAATGTTTATGTCAACGAAATTCGGAGGCCATTCAGTCAGCTATTCGTCACTCCCGCATTTGCCATACGATGTAGCCTAATAGGTACGTCTGTTTGTGTGTGTGTGTATGCATGCGTGCGTGTGTGCATGCATATATTGGTGTGTGTTTGCATGCGTGCGTCTAAGTATGCCTGTGTGTATATATGCATACCTGCGTCTGCACGTGCTTACACACATATGAGATGTACGTGCTGTAAAGTTCCTATTGTTGCTTTATGTTCTAATCTGCTGTAAGTTGTTCGGTCTTATTATAAAATCTAGCTGGCGGTGATAGCGTGTGCAACTCTGTGAATAGTGAGTCAGTTTTGTTCTGTCACGTGGTCGTTGCTGATCTCTTGCAGACATTCCATTGGTGGAGCAGATGACTGATTGGAACACGTGTTTTGAGATGCTACTGGACAATCACTCCGACTATCGTCTCACCGTGGAATCGATCAACGAAGAGCGGACGCACTTTGTGAAGCTTGTTGTGACCGCCGCCGACGGCGACCGCAGTGCTGACATAGCTGCAAAGTTGATCGAGAAGATGAGAGGTGGGTCTTCTTAAACGCAGCTAGCTCCGCCTACAGCAGCTGCCATTTGCTTTGCGACCCGAGAGTCGGTCGTCCGGCAGCTGTTCTCCCATGGCTGAGTTTTCCGTGGTGACTGTCATCTGGCCTGTTTGTTTGGGAGGGATCCGCCTGAGCTCGATCACTTGATGCTGATCTGGTTGCGCAAATGGAGACGTAGCGCCTTCAATGACTCTAAACTGTCGCTGTGACCGGTGACCTATCGCAGGATGGTTTATAACTAGCATCAAGCAGTGATTGGCTGAGCCACATACCACTGTATTGGATCATCTTCGAATCCACTCGGCCAGCAGGATCAGCGATTCTTGATCCCGATGATCAGTGATCTGTCCAAACAAACCCCACAGGTTCAATGTATCTGTGTGGTCCGCATCATATGATCCCTCCAAACAAATGCCCCTAGACAAATAGTGTGCACGTGCACACACTTTTCCTCAACTGTAATAACTGCGTTGTTTAGTTTTTGTTAGGCGTGTGTTCGTGTGAAATGCTTCTAGGATGGTCCCTTTACCGATGCAATGTTTATGATATAAATTCTTCTTTTTGTTCAGTTTTACCCGCATTTTTTCTCCACAAATTTAGCAGCAGTGCAATCACAGTACGTACCTTTATCAGGAACATGGGTGCTGGATCTATGTTCCTACTGTGCTCACAGTAAACCTTTCACATTGTGATGGGTGTTGTTCCCAATGTTTGGTCAAACATGTTATAGTGACAAAGAAATTTTGTTGCATTCAGCCTCCACACTTGCGGAAGCCACCGCAGGGTTAGCGATTGCAGCCGATGTACCTGCGTTGTCGCCGTCGCTTCAGGGATCGGATAACGCGTCGTCTGTCACACTGGATGCAGTGAGAGCAAACATCAGACGGCTGCAGCAATTAGAGGTTGAGCTAGAGAAGGCGAGTTAGAGCGGCGCTGCGATGCAACTGTCAGGGTCGTCAGACGTGCGAATGCATGCAGTCATGAACACGGGTCAGTGATGGGGACAGCTGGGGTTAGATTCACCACCTGCTAGCAACGTATGATGGGCGTAGCGTGCACATATAGTTAAGCATGCCTATAAAATTGGTGGGCGTCAATAGAAGGCAATGGTCCACACTCTGAGCTCCTAAAGCGATATTGAGAATTCCAGGTTCACCTCATACACTAACCGTTATGCTGAGTAACAGCAATGTCAAAAAAAAAAAAAAAAAAAAAAAAAAACGAGCACGCTTCCAAAAACTTTTAGCCGAGACCCCAAAAAGCAAGATCTCAAAACTTTGGCGACCCACATGCATTTTTTATGAAATCTAGTTCGATACACAATTATGAATTAATTTTTATTCAATAGCTGGTGATATTGGCCTATTAGCAATGATACTGCACGACCGTGCATGTCGTCAGTGGCCAGCGCAAGTCGTGCTGCTCCAGTGCATCTCTGCTCGTTTGATGTTGTCAGACGCCGAAATCTCTGCTGCGCAATATGTTCCAACAGGATAGATTCTCCGCGATCCGCAGAAATCCGCGGATTTGACAGCCCGAGGGGTCGTTTTGGGGTGAGAACGTCTAGAGTCGTTGAGAAATGGGAGGGTAACAATGAACAATAAATTATATAGTCTCAACGACACCCTCACTGTAGACTGTAGATGGAGACAGTAGGCTGACAGCGAAGTATACAGTTACTGTTGCCGTACCAGAAAAGAAAATCCCTCGGTTCATAGGCTGCCAGTAGGGGCAGACATTTAGGTGTGATGCACGTAACGACATGCTGCTGGGGCCGGTCTTACATGTTCTGCGGTGCAGGCTGTTGCAGACTACACTGATTGTTACATGCGCATGTGTTTTTTCATTCAAATCTCGTCGAGCAAGGCAGCGTTATTGAGTAAACAATGCACGCGACGGGTGAAACGAAAATATCATTATGTCTAGACATTAATAAAAAATTCCCTATTTCAGCACGCGATTCCTATTTTAGTTTCGTTTGTCCTTTTGACACTTGAAAATGATTCAAGAGTCTCCTATCATGTGTTCAAAAGCTTAGAATCACACAAGTGCACCATTCTTTAACAAATTACCGGGGGGGAGCATGCCCCGACGCCCCAGCATGGCGATAACCTCCGGGTCCTCTCATGCTCGCATGCTCTGTTTCTAAAATTAAAATTCAGCTGAAATAAATATCCAATCTACCCTCGCAAAGGAGCCAAACTTTCATGACTCTTCCGGGCGGACGTTGTCTTCTTCACCCGCGTCCAAACTGCCGCTAGCGACACTCGTACGAACTGGTCTCGGAAAAGTCTGTTCGCACTCGATCCCTGTTCTTGGGAGTCCGCGGAATTCCTCCGACAGGTCATCGACGCGCTTGGAAGGATCCTGAATCAACCAGCGTGCTCGATCGGGGTGGTCGGCTATGATCAAATTCCGTAGTCACTTCCAAATATGAAAAGGATGGCTGATGCGTCGATCCATTTCTCCACTCTCCAAAGTACGCGTCTGATGGAAAGCAGCACCTCCCCCGCTCGACTTCCTCTTCCAGAGTACAGCCTTTCTTGAAGCCACAGCTTCTCGACACGTGATAGCATTGTCCTCCCTTGCAATCGATGGGTTGATTCGTTGATGGGGCGGAAGACACGTTGAAGAGGCAACCTCCACATCCACTGCCTTCGTGATCGGCGGCAGGCGATGACTTCTCCCCTCAGGAATATGCTCCACTCTGTCGCAGGTCAAACTACCGACGCAACACCTTTCCGCGACAGCACCCACGCCGGTAGTAGAGCAGATGCGATGTTCAGATCCGAACACAGCACATAACCGAACAGCGATGTGGGGGGGATCGCTGGCTTATGACAAGTCACACAGCGACACTAGTCTGCATCACCTGTGAAAGAGCTTTGACAGGTTGAAGCCGCCAATTTTCGCGTGAAGGCAGTGGAAGATGCCCCACTTTCGGTTCACTGCTTCACTCTCGCCGAGAAACCTGCGGTGCACCAGCATTGTCCAGGGCACCATGTGCACAGGCACGCAGTTCCCAGCCATGCTCTTCTGGGCTGGAAATGATCCAGAACGTTGAAATCCAAGCTGTCGTGTGGTTTTCCAATGGCGTGCAATAGAAAATGTGTTCTCGATGTCTGGCGCCTCGACCTGGTGAAAGCCAGAGCTGCGCTCTTCCACATCGTCGACTCGTCACGATAACTCCAGCTCCTGCCCTTCTTCATCCGCCGCGCCACCTGTGGCCTCGATTCCGGACATGTCCCGATCGGCTCGATGGTTTACAGCACAGACTGCAATTTTCTTCGGGCGCATCGTCGCCGAGAAACTCTTGCATGGTCGATGGCGCCGGCTTCAACAATACTCACGATTGTGGCCTTCATCGTTTCGCGATCCCAGGGCGACCTGAAATGCAGTGCGTTGTTGCTGCCACACGCTTGGTTGCGCAGGTAAACCGACTTTATTCAAAGCCCGATCGCGCGTGGGACAAATTCTCTGCTCTGTGTATGTGACTAATCCGGCGTGCTTCGACTGAATGACGCTCAACTTCTCCTTCAACGACTCGTCGAGAGCACCTCGTAACACAGCACACACGGGCTTGACGGATCCCCATCGCGAGTTGACGTGAACCTAGACTCCAGAACGCCTTCGTATGACGCTTCCATCTGAGAACAAACCACAATGTAAGCAGGCAAGCACTAGCACAGAATACGCACCTAGTTCGGGGGTTGGGCACACAGCAAAGCACTTCAATCAGAACGAAAACAGCAACACACTCGCATCAAACGGAGAAATGAACCAGTCAAATCCGATCTCTGTCCAACACGCCCACGCCCACGCCGCAGAAGCCGTGAAGACGCTCCGCCTCGACGCATTAGGGACTCATAGTTTGCGCTAAATGAGCGCATCCAGTGCTTGCTCGCTCCACAAATTTTTGTGGAAGATCTTCGACACCGGCGGACCCGCATTACGAATCAATTCGACCCTTTTGGTCCGCGACCCATAGTGTTGGAACGCTGTCAAGGTCCAAATAAAATTTCTTAGACCTTCGATCACCAAAAACTGCAGTTTCGAACTACGTCGAACTGTTTAGTACATTCGTTCTGTATCTGAACTAGGCGAAGTGGATAGCTTGTGGCGCCACGCTTATTGCATAACAACATGGCTCTCTAATCAGCACTTGTTTCACTTAATACGAACAAATACAAGTTCCCATTCTGGCATTATCATTGCCGACACGAAAATTCAACTGTTACGAGTTTCATATTCCACTTCTCTATCTAACTGCATAAAATCTTAGTATTTTTAATGTTGGTGTAATCAGTCATAGTCATTTTAATACTTATGCTTGGAGCAAAATCCAGTGAGCACTGACTAGCACACTGGCACCTTCTGTGAACATGAGACTTCCCATTAGCGCTCGTACAATACGTTGGTAGTTTGAGGTGGTAAATAGATTTGAACTGTCAATGAAAACTGAAACTATGGCATATGTCTGCGTTGTTTTGTTCTTTAAATTTGTATTTTTCATACCTGTAGGCACCTACATATATAACATATAGTTAAGATGTGGATTGGGTACATGTTACATGTACATATACATAGAAAGTAAAGAAATATAGAATATACATAAAAGAAATAGAAAGCCTTAAAATTAGTGGTGCTGTGTATTTGGCCATTAGCTTAGGTAGTTAGTAGACAGTAGGTGATTAAGTTTCTATGGTGCCACAATTTGTTATACTTATTATCATGATATCATTCTATTTTATAATTATTTGTCATTTAAAATAGGACAAACTAATTGTTTGAATATCAATATTACTGTAATTTCGCCGTGTGAACAAATTTTTCCTTTAAAATTGCTATGAGCCGACATTTATTGTTTACTATCCATCAAAATTGCAGTTTACCGAATCCTAGCGTTAGATAAACCCCTTTCGAACATTGCATCTTTCATTGCCGTTTTGTTTGTGTATTAAATAAAGGAAATAGTGGGTGATATACCGCAATTCCATTGTATTAAGGTCGATTAGTTGCACGAATTTAATGGTCGTAATTCGCAAATGAGCTGGCATATTCCGTATGAGCGAATTTACTAAATCTTACTACGTATTTGAGGGTATTACTCTATACAAGCACCTATAGTGATTATCTTTATCTTCATAAGTTTTGTCACGTTACATTCTGCGTGTGTATTACTAAACTAAAAGCAAAAACGTAAGGCTTGTGACAGTTGACTTGTGACAGGTCACAAACAATATCTTGTAGCCAGAAATATATTTCCGTTAGTTTAGTATGATTGCTGTACAGCTGTGACATTTTTTTTAGTTCAGCACAATATAATAGTTAACTCTTGTATTTGTTATTGAAGGTTTGAATTACTAATAAACAGAACTAGTAAGTGCAGTCGCATAACCTCTGTTATATAACCAAATTATTTGATTTAATTTATATGGTACAATTATATAGGTATATTTATATAGCCTACAGTAGGTACAGGCCTACAGTATTTAACTATGCTTTTAATATATTCATGTTGCCTGTGAGAAAGACATGGTAGGCAATGTCATATCAACAAATAGATGAAGACTAGAAAATGTGTTTGAAAATGTTTCAGTTTCAGGATAAATTATTTTTTACCGCGGATAAATTATGTGTAACAAGGCCTCTGCTTGGGTAAAATGGCTATAATTTTACCGCGGTTAAATCATTTCTACCGCGGGAAAAATAATTATTTCTGAGTACGATGGCCAACCATACGCGACGGAGTATGGAGTCAGCTTCCCCGTGTCGGCGGCGCTTCGGAAACACCTACACGTTTCCCCCGCCTCGTCCATCGCGGGCGGTGGCGGCCGGAAGAGGTCACGTCTCATATATCTATCTCTAGCTCTCTCGCGCTCTCTTCCCCTCTCTTGCTACCGCTCTTTTCTGATACCCGGAGAAATTGCCATACTTAGCTTAATAACATGAAGACTGTCATCTGCAACTCGGTTCTCTATCAAGGCTTCTAGTCTTGATCAGACTACGTGCTCCCTGTCGTCGAGGTAACCACCTATTTAACCGGCGGTTAGGGGGAAAAAGACAAAAGCTACACTGAGAGTAATCTGCTTCGCTTGAGGTAAAAATCGAACTCAGGGAACTAAGAACCCCTTTAATCA